AAGTATGTTCAGGCTTTATTATAACAATCTTCCAGAAGAAATTGAATCAAAATTGACTTCTTGCGGAGAGATCTTCAAGTCATTACCAACRCTAGACTCTACAGCGTTTAACAACAAACTAAATAACCTCTGTGAACACTTGAATTGTATTTTTAAATCTCTGCAGTGTATAAACGAAGCTACAATATGCGCCCACATATGTGCAATCTTAACGCTTTATGCTCGATATGAGAAAGGTGAGGTAAAATATTTTGATGATAATCGCAAGCAATGTGTTGTCTACATTGATGTTTGGGGGCGTCACGGCAACTTCGCCATTATCATTGAAGTTAAATTCAATTCTGATGCTACTGGTGAACCTGGCAAAATTGGATCTAAGACAAAAAGCTCCCTTGCTGCTGCAGAGGAAATAGTTGAACTTCTACCTGGTAAAAAAGAAAGAGAAGGCGGATCCGGTGGTAAAGCTGGCACTGGCAGAGATTTAGAGAAATTGAAATTTAAAGACATTAAGGAGTACGTTCTTATAGGTCTGGCTGTGGATGGTGATTATACTACTCATATGCTTGTCTTTCGAAATACATCCAAATGGGAAAATGTAATTCAAGTTAATCCTGAAAAGCATGTTGTAGAACTAATATCAACTTATCTAAAATGATARAACTKSTGAGAATGGTGTTATGATATTGAGACTTATTTACTGATAAGATTTTGCTTTCTCTTCATTTAATAAATTTATTTTGTGGAAAAAGCGCATTTTTTTTTGTCTTTATACCTTTGCTTGTTGCACTGTTATTGATGTAGCAGAAAAGAACAAGAGAAAGCAAACAAGAAACAGGAAATGAAGGATGATATTACGTGAACACTGAAAGCAGCAAATTTTCCTATGAGTAGGTTTTTTGTTTCGCAAAAATAGAAAATAATTATGTTTTGTAGATCTCGACGAAAAGATCTTTTTGATCATTCATGTTAATCATCTGACGTATTATCCTTCTGAGAATAAGTATTTTATCTGTGAACTGGCCGTAGCTGCTGTAAGTCTTAAAAGTGGAATCGAGGATGTGTTCCACACAGGTTAGTGAGTTTTTTTTTTGCAAGAATATTTGATAAAGTTAGTTGTTTTGTGTGGAAAAACTGCCGTTGGGATTTTATGGAGGAGCCTTGAATCATTTAAAGGAAACTCACCAATTGCTTGAAATTGTTCAGGATGAACCATATGAGAATAATACTCATGAAGTTTTTACTGAAGATGCGTCGCATCTTTTACATTTTTTTTACAGAAAAAATGGACAGGTAAAGAAAATCAATTCATCGTCTATGCTGTTATTCTATAAGAGTTTTGTGAAATGCAAAAGAGATTGAAAAAATTGATAAAATTATAAATATTTAAAAAATACGATACGGTAGAAGCATTAAACAACTATTTTCCAATAACAATTGATCAGTCGTTTTTGAAAAATAGCAAAAGTTAATTTGACAATATTTTCGTCCGCCATTGTTTATATTAGTTCAGTGGTGGTGGCGTCACTGTTCTCGTATTCAGTGATGCCAGATTAGGGAATTTTTCCCTAGTTCTAGGGACTTTTCTAACAAAAATGGAAAAAAGGATTTTTTTCAATTTTTCTTAATAATCTAGGTATTTTTTAAATTTTCAGTAAAAAATATCAATTATTTTCACACTGCTGGCACAGTTTTTGAGACTTTACTTCAAAAACGTTCTTAAGAGTTTGACAAAAGTGGAAAAACATAATTTTCGACCAAATTTTCTGGTTTTCCAACTTTTTTTGGATTAAATATTGCTCAAAATATTGTTAAATCGAGTGAAACAAACAAAATAACATCAATTCCAATTTATTTTTGCGATTTTTAAGCGTGTTTTGCAAAATAAATGTAATTTAGTAATTTTCGCCAGATCTAAAGAAATAAAAAAAAAATATTTCTCAAAAAAACAAAAAATTTTGCCCAAATTTGGTACATTTTCGGATTTTTTGACTGAAATTTTATAAAAAAAAATCCGTTTCTGGTTGTAAAATGTGGTAAACCACTACAAAAAAGCCTAAGATAATGTTGATTTCGACTTTGTTTAGCGCTTTTCGTTCTGTAAAATCTCGCAAAAATAAAACGTTTTTTAAACTAATTTATTGGTGATTCTACGACTTATTTAGTTTCAGATTGAAAAACACTATTTTTTTTAATTTGGTAATTTTTGGGTTTGCTACAGCAACAACTTTTAAAAACAATCGAATTTAAGATGAAAAAAACATCATCGACCAATTGCGTGCGCAATTTCAGTACTAAATTCAGTACTGAAATTAGTCCAGTGATGCCAGATTAGGGAATTTTTCCCTAGTTTTAGGGATTTTTCTAACAAAAGTAGAAAAAAGGATTTTTTCAATTTTTCTTAATAATCTAGGGATTTTTTGCATTTTCAGTAAAAATCTCAATTATTTACACACTGCTGGCACAGTTTCAAAAATTACAAAAATTTTTAATATGAATATTGTAACTTGTATATGAGTTTAGCACATATGTTATGTAAAGACAAAAAAAAGAACAAGATAACTAAAAACCGTTTGCATTTTTCGCGTTGCCAAGTTTACTAATTATTGCAGTTCATTTAATATTGTAGACGAATATTTAAAATTAATGAAATCCCATAATTTATAAGTATAAATAAAAATTAAGTAGCTATCTAAATATACACGTTCATTTGAATTTGTTTTAATTGACTTGTATTTTATTTTTTTATTTCTTTAGTAAAATTTATTTTAATTTATTGTTATATTATTTATTGATTTTTTGTTGTTTGGAGTTAACACATTTTTATGTTGTATTTATATTATATTACCTAATAAAAACCTCCTAATAACATAACCTAAAAAAACGGTTTTGCACAATCACAAATTTTATCCAAATTTGCGATTAATTTCGCAAAAAATTTAAATGCATCGCGGCACTAATCATTTTTCATATGTTTTTCAGCCAGAAACGCGTAAATGATTTGGAGTTTAGTTCAAAAACACAAAATTACGCCGAAAATGATGTCATTTTTGCTTTTTCCGAGAGCTGAAAACTTCGTTTTTTGCGAGATTTCGCTATATCGAGTCAAATTCACTAATAAGTTGTTGATAAGGTTGGCATTACTGAAACTGAATTTCCTGATTAGCAAAAAAAAGTTGGCCGTGAGCGCTTGACAGCTTTCACTCAATTTCAAAATTAAAGAAACTGCAATTTGTATGAATTTGTGCCCATTTGGGCTTACGCGAGCAAGGTTGGCAATACTGAAGTTAAATTTTACGTGATTTCTTAAAAATTAATTTTTTGAACTGATTTTAAACACAGTGTGTTTTGTATTAAATAATAAAGTCTGTTTTATTTAATAAACGTTTAAATTTCTTGAAAAATCAAGCTATACCACCCTAAAACAGCTGTATACAGTTTAGTGAGGTTATGGTTAAGTCAGAGACATTTTCATCTTAGTCTGGTGATTTGTTGGTGAAAACTTTTGTAAAAATTCTCTGTTGTTGGAAATGAAAAAAACTGTTCTTCAAGCATTTTCCACGTTTCTACCGGACACTTGATTATTTCGTCAAATTTTGTTTTTTTATAAGATTTTACTAGACAGGATCAAGAATATTTTTGTCTTTTTCGAATACTTTTTCAGCCTGAAACATAAAATTTCGGTAAAAACAATTCATAAATTCAACAAATTCGACCAAAAACGGTTTTATTTTTGCCCTTTTCAAGTGTTTAAGCACGTTTTTGAGATAAAAGCAAAGAAATTTCTAAAAATTTCGTTGAAGCAAGTATAAAAAGATACAAAATTAAATTGAAATGACTCCTAAAAAATGATAAATAAATAAATGTAAAAATGATATAATTTTGTCCTTTTTCGAAAGTTCAAGCAGATTTTTAAGCTGAAAACTCGATTTTTTCGCAAAAATTTGCTACAGTGTGTCAAAAATCACCAAATTGTTATAAAAAAGATATTATAATATTTTTACCTAACTCTTAGGCTTTAACGTGATTATTTTGCCACATTTTATCTAAAAAAAAACACCAAATTGGTTAAAAACAGTGATATTTGTTTTTTACGAAATATTACTAAACAGAGTCGAAAATGACAAGTTATTTGGGTCTTTTTCGAATGTTTTTTCTGCTAGAAACACAATTATTTTGCAAAATTTTGTTAAAAACAAGCCACAAATTCAACAAAATAGCCCAAAAACCGCATTTTTTGGCCTTTTTCGAGTGTTTAGCATGTTTTTGAAAGATAAAAACAAAAACAGGCTAAAAAATTACAAAATCAAATCGAAATTGAACCAGAGGTTAATTTATTTTTCAAAATCTTGTCCAAATACGTCTAAAAAAATCAAAAAGGATTGATATTGATGTTATTTTGTTTGTCTCACTTGATTTATCTGGTTTTTGGGCAAAAAAAGACAAAAATAAGCCGAGAAAACACAAAATTTGGCCAAAAATGCTTTTTTGTACTAAAATCTCAGGTTTGCCGTTAGATTTCGCTAAAACAAACTAAATAATAAAAAAATCAAGTCTAAAATTACATTATTTCAGCTAAAAACGCAATTATTTCGCAAAATTTTGTTGAAAACAAGCCGAAAAAATCACAGAATTCGGCCGAAAACACTGTCACTTTATTTTTTTTTCAAGAGTTTAAGCAGATTTTTAAACTGAAAACTGCGTTCTTCGCGAGATTTTGCACCACAAAGGCTATGAAAAATTTTCAACCAATTACAATCGACTCCCTAATCTGGTGAATTTTGTGTTTTTGATTTGGCAACACTGCATCAATGCCATTTTTTTGACATTGGACAAACTCTTAGCGCGCAATGTTGTCAACTGCCGCAAAATTCCCTAAAAAAGTGCAATGTAGAAAAAATACTGTATGATACCTCGTTTATAAATATAAAATATTACTATAAATTCTACCAAAGCAGACAACGATTTGAATAACGCGCCTTTTTTTCAATTTCCAACTAATGGAAGTGGGTGGTTGAAAGTGAGGTTAGTGCGAAAAATTGGGGTAAAACAACCCGAATTGGCACAAAACCGTCAACTTGACGCTCTGGTCGCTCATTGCGGTGGTTAAATGCCACGTTTCGTGTGCAAATTGCGTAAAACAATCATTGAAAATTTGAATCGCGCGCCTTTTTTCGTCATTTTTCCCCTAATCAAAGTGTGTGTGAAACCACTAGAAACAATCGAAAAATGTGTGTTTTTTAGTGAAAATGGCGTGTTTGGGGCCCCCTAGTCCAAAATCGCGTTTAATTTCAATTTGGCGCTCCAAAAGTGGCGGAAACTCTCATTTAAGTGCGCAGTACTCGTGCTCAGATCGCGTTTTTGGCCTTTAATGCGCGCAGTACCGGTTTTCGCCGTCTCACACATTTTCCAAGTGTTTTGCCCAAACCCAACATATTTGACTCGAATGTGGCAAAGCTTGAGTGAAATAACCCAATTACTAAATCGCATAAACATCTTCAAGTGTCCAACGACTTGAATCTCCACAATCGAGGTGAGTTTTTTCGCTCCTTTGTTGTCCCACATACACGTGGACTGGCGTGGGGCCCCACAAATTCTGAGTTTTGGTGGTTTCAGACGGCGCCATGAGTTCTGGGAGCATCTGCTACAAGTGCAACCAGCCGGGGCACTTCGCCCGCGAGTGCACGCAGCCGGGGGGCCGCGAAGGGGGCCGCGGCGGCTTCAACCGCAGTCGGGAGAAGTGCCACAAGTGCAACAAGACGGGGCACTACGCGAGGGACTGCAAGGAGGACTCGGCGCGCTGCTATCGCTGCTACGGCGAGGGCCACTTCGCCAAAGACTGTCTCCAGAGCCCCGACATGCCCTCGTGCTACAACTGCAGGAAGCCGGGGCATATCGCGCGCAGTTGCCCCGAGGGGGGCGGCGTCGCCAACGAGACGTGCCACAACTGCCAGCGGCCGGGGCACATCTCGAGGAACTGCCCCGAAAACACGAAAATCTGCTACTTGTGCCACAAGCCGGGGCATCTCAAGCGGGACTGTCAGGAGAACGATTACAGGAAGTAACGTTGTTTTTATTTGTTGTATTTTATATTATATACGTTATGAAATTGTCTGTTTTTCCTCAACTATTGTTATGAACCGATGTTTCTTATTTATGTTTCCTAAATGGGGGTTATTATATTCAATTGAGGTTTTTATGTAATTGCAAACTATACTAAAGGTTTTAACACTTATTTTGGGCTCATCTGTCAGTTCCTTCCCGATAAAGATGGCGTGCAATCGTTAATTCGATTTTTTTTTACGTTTATTTATTTGTCTTGATACAAGACGTCCCAAAATTGTAATTATTTTGATAACGATTTACATTTTAAATAAAATACTTCAAAGGGTATTTGAGTTTATTCACTTATTTTAAAAGAAGTAATACAGACAAGTAGATTTGAGGCTTAAGATGGTGGGTAGGTGTGTTTAATTAGGAATTATGTAAATAAAACGTTTTTAATGCTTTTTTTAATCATTTCACGGTTTTTCCCCTGTTTTTACGCCGTTTCATTTAATACACAATTTTCAAATGTCAAATTTTAGTGAGGTTATGTCATCACCTGTCAAAAGGCGCATGCGTGGCGTACTGTAAAGTGCAGTTAGTTGTACGCAGAGGTGCCAATAGTGAATTTGAAATTCCCTGACAATTGTTTGTTGAATGAAACAGACTTTATATTAAAAAAGTGAAGCTGTGCTGAAGTTCAAGGCATTACGACCTGTTTCCATTGAAAAAATAACTAAATGGAGAAAATTAAGTAAACCAACATCGGACTTAAAACTGTAGTGAAATATATTGATAAAAATAAATACATTTTATAAAAGCAGTGTTGTTTGTTATGTTATTAGAAAGTAAGTTCCATTTTGTTTTGTTCGTTATTTAGTGTCAAGGTTCAGAGTTGCCAACTTTACGTGGAAATGGACAGTTTAGTGGACAAAGATAGTAAATAAATTACAGACCAATTGGTAATAAAGCGCTAAAAGGGCCCACATGTCAAAAAAGTGAAATTGAGGTTAAGACTTACTTTTTGAGATTGTTTGTGCTTAAGTGTGGCTTTTTAGGCCCAAAAATTCAAAAATCCTTACTTTTTGATTCACCAACGCTGATTTTAATCACAATTCAAGGAATTTAGTCGAAATTTGAGGAAATTTACTGTCGGCGGGTTTGGGTTCAGTGTTGCCAACCTTTACAAAAACGCAAATATTTTTTAATTAATATAAATTAATTAGGAGTACTATTTTTGATAGTTATGCAACAAAGTGCTCAATATTAAAAAAAAAAAACGAATATGAGCACATTTGGTTTCAAAATTTGAAATTTAAGAATTTTTAACGAGAAATTGAATTTACAAATGTTTGGGTTCAAAAACTTGAAACGTTTTAGTTTTTGACTGTTGATTTGATTGTAATTTAATTATAAAAAATGAAACAATTTTGTTTCATTTTCTTTAACTATTCTGGATAGGTTATGCAACTCAAAATTCACCACCATTTTAAAGAAAAATTGAAATTACAAATTTTTTGTTTAAAAAATACTTACTTTTTGACTTACTAATACTGCTTTTAATTGCAGTTTAATTATTTTGAAGAAAATTAAACAATTATGTTACATTTACAGCGACTATTTTTATGATAGGTTATGCAACTTAAGATACACCACAATTAAAATTTTAACAAAAAATTAAAATTACATTGAAAATATTTACTTTTTAAATTAATAATTCTGCTTTTGATTGTAGTTTTATTATTTGTATAAAAAATACACAATTTCGTTGCATTTTCAATAACTACATATTTTTGACAAGTTATGCAATCCAAAATCAAAAATTTTAAAAAAAATTAAAAGTACAAATTTTTGGGCTAAAAAATTTAGAATCTTATTTTTTTATTTTACTAATATTAATATTTTTTAATTAATATAAATTAATTATGAGTACTATAATTGATGAATTAATAAGGCAACAAAGTGCTCAATCATCAATATTAAAAAAAAAACACGACTTTTCAATTTCAACAAAAAAATTATTTTTTTTTACTTTTTGCCTTACTAACACTGCCTTTAATCGTTATTTAATTATTTTTAATTAGAGAAAGTAGAGAATTTTGTTGCATTTTTTCAGCAACTATTTCTATGGCAAGCTATGCAACTCAAAATACACCACAATCAAAATTTTAAAAGAAAAACTGAAATTTTTGGGCCTGAAAATTTGAAACGGTTTACTTTTTCATTTAGGTATATTGTTTTTAATTGTAATTTAATCATTTTTAAAAACATTAAACAGTTTTGTTTATGACTAGTTATGCAACTCAAAATACACACAATTAAAATTTTTAGCAAAATATTAAAATTTTTGGGCTGAAAAATGTAAATCTTGTTACTGTTTGACTTACTAACATTGTTTTTAATTGTAATTTAATCATTTTTAAGGAAATTAGATAATCTCGTTGTATTTACGTTGGCTACATATTTTTGACAGGTTATGTAATACAAAATACACCACAATTAAAATTTGAATGATTACAGAATTTTTAATTATTATCAATCAGTAGGAGTGACCGATAGAATTATTATATAAACACAATTTCAAATTTTTTAATCTATTATAAGCGATAATTATGCATATTTTTGAAAACTGTACAATAATTGACCAAATAAACACCACAAATGCAAACATAAATAAAACAAACGCTGAATTATCACTTATTGTGACAATAATTGTAATAATAAATACGATTCTCTAAAAATAAACTTCCAAAAGTGGCATAATTGTAAATTGTAAAAAATCGTGTCTGGCTTACTTTATCACAAAGCGAATGAACCATCAAGGTCACAAAGGCCAAAACCTTGCTCGTGAATCCACAATTACTGAATTAAACCTTGTTTACCACTAAATTTTTAAATTTGGCGCCCTCAAATGTCACTCAAGTGCGCATGTCACACAACCATCAATTTGACCGCCATCGAAACTGTCATCGCGAAGCACGCGTGACACTAATTCGTGACATTTTTGTCAAAATCATCAAAAAAACTGTCAATTCACGTGGGTGAGACGACTTTCAGCGTGAAACATGTGCGTTTTGTGTGCACGAATTGGGGCTACGTTCACGTGCACGTGACACGACTGACAGACGTTTATTTACCCAGTTTTGGTGGAAAAGACAAAAACTTGGGAAAATCGTGTTACGTAAATTGATACAGTGACTAGATTTGGGGAAAATGAAAGTCCGTAAGTACGAATTGATTTGCATGAGTAAATGTGGGTTTAGGGCTTGGGAATTTGGGGTTTTTAATTAAGCGGCTTTATTTTGAGACGACCACGAGGTAGCCATTGCTGTCACGAGAGGGTAAGTACAGGACGTGATCAGTGAGGAATTTTCGCGTTGCTCAATCGGTTTTGGTGTGAATTCGGGGCTATTTTTGTATCATGGAATTGAAAACCGGTGATTGATTATTTTTAACCGCTCGGATTGCAGTTTTTTTGGTCTAGTTAGGGTTTGTAGTTTTGTTAGGTTGGTACCAGTCGGGGTTAAATCACTAGTTTTTTGGTTAGTTCACGACACTCGTGAGTGTTTTTATGGGTGTTTTGATGGGGGTTTGCCCCAAGACTCTTAATTTCGGTGTTTTTGTTAATTTTGTGGGGGCGCATGCGCGTGGTATGATCGCGTCCTGTTGTTTACGCGTTGTTGTCAATTGTCACTTTCAGTTGTCACTCAAACGTGCTTTAAAAAATCGTCAATTAAAGGCATTTTCTTTGTGATTTTGTGGAAATTTTCATCGGGAAAGTGTCGTAGTGGAAATGACGGAAAGTCTATTTTCCGAACGATGTAAGTAAAGTCGGAAAATGCGTATTTATGAGTGTGTGTTTCGAGCGCGGCAAATGCCAAAAGTTGACTTGGAAATTCAACTGTCATTTTTTTGTTTCACTTGTTATTTTGTTTACACAATTTTGAAAATTGCACGCCGAGACTAGTTTTTGTGAAAATAACCTGAAAAAATGACCGATTTTGTTACAGATCGCGAACGTTTCCAATCGAGTAGCAGTACGGATGAAAATGAATCCGGATCCGAACAAGAGGATCATCATCAATTGATGCAAATCGCCAATTTGAATAATCTTTCAGTTGAACCGACGAGGAAACGAAGAGGAAATCTCCCCAAACATTCGGTGAAGATACTCAAGAGGTGGCTGTATGAGCACAGGTGGGTAAATGGGGGTGAAGGGCTAGGGGGCGACTCATTTATGATTGGTCCATTTTGTTGTTACGGGTCACGTGATTGTAAAATTTGTCGAAATCAGGTAACTAATTGTTGTTCATTTGTTTTTTTCTTTGTGTTCGCTTCATGAATGAGATTTTTGTTGTTTTTTTTTACATAATTACGAAATTTTGAACTGTTATGTCACTTTAGTTGTGGGAAAATTGTTGTTTTTTTGTTGGTAACATGTGTATAAAATGGGTAGGGCAAGGGGACGACTCACTAACGATTGGTCCATTTTGTTGTTACGGGTCACGTGATTGTAAAATTTTTCTAAATCTGGTAACTAATTGTTGTTCATTTGTTTTTTTCTTTGTGTTCGCTTCATGAATGAAATTTTTGTTGTTTTTTTACATAATTACGAAATTTTGAACTGTTATGTCACTTTGTTGTGGGAAAATTGTTGTTTTTTTGTTGGTACCATGTGTATGAAGTGGGTCAAGGTCATGAGGTATACGTTGTCAATGACTATGCTAAATGTTAGTTTTATTTAAAAATCAAGGTGAGAATAAATAAAAATTTCTGACAAATGTAGAAATGGTTAAAATGCTCTACGATAAGTTAAGAAAAACCATTATTTTTTCTAATGAAACAAATTTTCAACTTTAAAATTGATTCATTTAACGTTTTTTTACATTTCTATATGTCTTATAGACTCAAAAAAGTGCATAAAACGTTATTGGGTCAAGTTTTTGAAGGTGAGTGGTAGTATGTATAATCGTAAAAATAGAACACTTTACCTCATTTTTGGAGACTGAAATTGATTTATTTCAAGAAATTTTGAATTGGCGTTGATTCTGATTATTTATCTTGTTTTTGAGTCAGAAAAAAAGAGTCAAAAACGAGAAAAAAACATTTTTTTTTATTTTCTTAGTTCTGAAATTGTTTTGATTTGAAATTGTGAGTGAAATTGAACTAAACAAGTCGAGATTACGTTTAATTTTGCCTAAACATACCAAAAATCGTCTTTTAAGGTCTGGAAAGGGAAATTTTGAGTGATTTAACTCATTTCTGAGCCAGAAACTTTTTTATTTCAAGAGTTTTTGCTGATATAAGCCATAAAATTGTCGTTTTAGCTCTGAATTGCTTGTTTTGAAGCCAGAAATCGACTTGAATTGTGAGATTTAATACGAAAATTGTCGTTTTGCGTTATAATAAGGCTAGCTAATTTAGAGAGATTTTTGAACCTAAAACTTGCTTATTTGAGGAAATTTTCATCAAATTTAGCTTTTTTTTTGTGCTAGAAGTTTATTTACATAAAGAAATTGTGCTAAAACAGATCAAAAATTGTGGTTTGATTTCACTAAATTTAACGATTTTTTTTTTCAAAAACTCACTTATTTTAAAAGATTTTGCCCAAATAGGACACAAATTCTCCGTTTTATTTCAACGAATTTTGTCGAAACAGTCTARAAAACAGTTTTCAGGTCTGAATTGAAATATTTCAGCCAAATCCAAACACTTTACCTCATTTTTGGAGACTGAAATTGATTTATTTCAAGAGATTTTGATGAAACAACTCAGAAAATTGTCGTTGATTCTGATTATTTAGCTTGTTTTTGAGTCAGAAAAAAAGAGTCAAAAACAAGAAAAGAACATTTTTTCTTTAATTTTCTTAGTTCTGAAATTGTTTTGATTAATTTAAACAGCGACAAGTTTTTAAACTAAACAAGTCGAGAGTTTAATTTTGCCTAAATATACCAAAAAATCGTCTTTTAAGGTCTGAATTTTAGGAAATTTTGAGTGATGTAACTCATTTCTGAGCCAGAAACTTGTTTATTTCAAGAGTTTTTGCTGATATTAGCTATAAAATTGTTGTTTTAGCTCTGAATTGCATGTTTTGAAGCCAGAAATCAACTTGAATTGTGAGATTTAGTGCGAAAATTGTCGTTTTGCGTTATAATAAGGCATTTTTAGCTAATTTAGAGTGATTAATTTAGATTTTTATTTAAAATTAGCCAAAAAATTACACACACCAGCACAAAGTATGTTTTAAGTTAAATTTTACGTTTATTACTTAATTTGAACCTTGAAATCTTTAAAACTCTTAAAATTAGAAATATTTTTGTTAAAAAATGAATGAGATTAAAGAAAATTATCGCAAAAATGTTGTTTAAAAAATCTAAAATGAGTCTTGTTTTTACTGCAGCTGCAATTTAGTAAATATTTGCCTTTTCTTGTATTAATTTACCAAAATTTTAGAATTTGAAGACAATTTTCGTTTAAAAATAATTAAGATTAAATAAAATTATCCAGAGTAACATATTTTTTGTCAAATTTTGGATTTTTTTTTTTGAATAAATTCAACAAAATACATAGATTCCCATTTAAAAAGCTAAGCAAAACGGCCGAAATAGTGTTTTTTCTTTAAAAAATGGGCTACAAACTAACGAAAATAACACAAAATCTTAAAAATAAACAAAATTAACTGTAACTGCTTTAAGTAAAAAAAAATCTCAAAAAATAGGTACGATTTCAGAAGAATAAGGAATAATTTTTTGCATCAATCCAGCGAAAGAGAAAATTTTAGGATTAATTTTGCTATTTGTTACATTAATTGAAATAAAACTCGTAAAATGAGAAGTATTTTCGTTTAAAAAACAATTAAATCAATTATTTGCTTTCAAAAATGAATAATTAGAAAATATTAAACTATTACAAAAAAAAAATTATGACATTTTGTTTTTCGAAAGCAACTTATATGAAAATATTTTTTGACAAAAATTGAACAAAATATAGGAAATTGTAATTCTTAGATCATAGCCTTTATAAAAAAAAAAGATTTTGTAGTGATTTGCATTTGTACTTAAAAAAGAATAAAAAAAATTCAAAAACAAGAAAATTTCGGAAAATTTTATTTATTTTATTCATCTTGTATGAAAAAAAAAACACATCATGTGAGCACGGTTTTAAAAAAACGGTGCATAATACAATAACACAAGTTTTTTACAAGAAATTGTCAAAAAAATCAAAAAACCTCTTCTAAAGCAAAATTTTACGTCTCAAATAGAAAGTCTTCAGGGGGCTGACATGAGCCCATGGCAATTTTTTTTCCCTTATTTTGTCTTACGGAATCAGAGACACTGGCCGGGGGCATGGTGGCGCAGCGACAAAGTTTGCCAATTTTTTTTGTTTTTTTTTTCCAGATACAATGCATACCCGAGCGACGCCGAGAAAATGACCCTCTCTCAGGAAGCCAACTTGACTGTTCTCCAGGTGTGTAATTGGTTTATAAACGCACGTCGTCGCATCCTTCCCGAGATGATTCGACGCGAAGGTCACGATCCACTCCATTATACCATTTCGCGTCGTGGTAAAAAATTGACCAATTCTGGTACAATGGGTATGGAACAATCTCGCGCCCAATGGGACGAAGAAATGGCAACAGTTGGAGGAAAACGTATTCGACTCGATCATGATTATGACGATTCGATGAATCTCATGTATCGTTCGGAGGAGGATAGTCCGAATGAGTATGAAAGCTCGAGTCCTAGTGAAGAGGAAAAGTTCAATCCCTGGCAGACGGTCATTAGGTATGGGGTGGCCAAGGAGGCCCCTTATCCCACCAAAAGGCAAGTTTTATTAATAGTATATATTGCATTTATTACTTCCCTCGATGCTACGCATCTCGGGTAATTCACCAAAGTTGTAAAATTTGAAGAATTTGTCAGTTTTTTTTTTTGGAATAATTTCAACAAGATACGTAAAAAAACCTAAGCTAATCAGTCCAAAAATATATTTCTTTAAAAAATGGAATGAAAATAACACAAAATCTTAAAAATAAACAAAATTAACTGTAACTGCTTTAATTAAAGAAAATTACTCAAAAATGCGATTTAAGAAGAATAAAGAATAGTTTTTTGCATATACAGGGTGCGCCAGAACTCACGCCCCAGAGAAAAATGCCGTATAAGGTAAGATACCAGGAACAAATTTCGAAGTTATGAGGGTTTTAAATTTTGCACTTTGACTCTATTTATTTCTGTTGGAAAAATAATTTTACAATTTTATTTGCTACAAGCTATTAGAAGAGGAAACAAAGAAGCTGTATCCTAAATTGTAACTTTGTTCAATGTTATTTGTAGCTTTTATTGGCAAAATTTTTGTCCCTTTACTAAACAATTGTAAAAAACATATACAAGATCATCACTATCATTGAATAGATATAAAAAAATGTCAAAAAATAAATGTCAAAATTTTTTGACAGATAGAATTTTTTAAACATTTTTTTCAAGTTCCTGGTATCTTACCTTACTTGAAATTTTTTTCTGGGGCGCGAGTTCTGGCGCACCCTGTATTATATTGTGTTGGTTACTTCCCTCGATGCCACACATCTCGGGTAATAAATAGCAAGGCGATTATTCACCAAAATTTTAGAATTTGAAGACATTTTTTGTTTAAAAGTAATTAAGATCAACTAAAATTATCTGTTTTATTTATTTATTTTTTTTGATATGCTAATCAGGCGAAAAAATATTTTTCTTTAAAAAATGGGCTAAAACAAATGAAAATAACACAAAATCGTAAAAATAAACAAAATTACCTGTAACTACTATAAAGAATAATTTGTTCCATCTATTCAGCGAAATTTTTAAAAATTGAACAGAATTTCAATATGTAATAATAAATTAATAATTAAAATAAATTGCATAAATCTATTTAAA